AAAATTTACCTCTTTGCCTTTCAGCTCAGCCAACATTCCACCATAGTTCCAGGAGGACAAATTGAAACAGAACGTGTCAAAATATAGTAAGAAAGTAGCAGTTTCTGTTGCAGTAAATGGTAACAAATAGTTGCCAATTACATTATTTAAAAACAGTAGACATGTGGGATATAAGACTCTAGTTTAATTCCTTTCTACTGGTTGATGGTGGTATGTACCTAAGTTCAGTACTTTTTAGTCCAAGATTAGAAAATCACTGTATGTGCTCCTTCCAATGCGACAGATGTTTACAGTTTGCCCTTTTAGCATTCCAGGACTGGGTTTTGGAATTCACTTTAATTCCAAGATGCAGAAGTTGATATTGTTTCTCTCACTATTTTAACTGAAGCTTGAGTGATTTGCAGCTCCTTTTAGGTATTCTCATTGTCATTTTAACTCATAAAATCTGGAGTGTAAAGTAATCACTTTGCATGTCTAACCTGGCTTTTCTAGGAGGCAATTTTACCACTTCTTCGTTTTATTTGTTTCTAAACAGAATTAAAATGATACTCTTAAAAAAAGTACTTGAAAAACTTTGTTGAATTCCTTTCAGTTTTTGTAGTGAAACTGCGTTGTTTCTAATGTTTTTTTACTATTTTTATTTTTCTTACTATTTTTTTTAAAATAAAAGTAGTAAAAAGTGCATTATAAATGATACACAACTTTACTGAACAAAATTATAGGAATTAAATATGGTTAAGAGCAAGCATTTTATCTTTTTTTTTCTTTTTTTCTGTACAGAGTCTGAGTACACAGCTCATACTCATAGTAGTCTTCCTGTTTCCAGCCTCCCTAGCACTGGAATTACAGGCCTGCAATACAATGCCCAGACTCTGTGTCTGCCTCAACATGGTCAGCAGGCGAGATTGGCATGGCGTGTGGTGCTTGGGATTGAATCCTAGTCCTTGCTCTTGCCTAAGCAAGTGCTTACTCTACTGAGCTTTTTGCCAGCCTTAGGAAACAGTTTTTAACAAATAAGTATGTTTATTCAATGAAACCAAAGAGTGTCATATTGGCTAAGACAGATTTTGAAAGCAGTGTCATCACTTAAATTAGTTTAGTGAGATGCTTTTCATTGAAGGGCCTATAAAACACAGGAGGAGATCACAGTTATAGCACGTATTCATGTTTTATGGAAATTATTAAGCTAAAAGTCTCATTGTCATGAATGCCCCGGGGAAGGCTAGCACTTGGGTGAACACACACCATTGTTCATGCCACCTTAAGAAGTAGTTCTTGGGTTTTATTTCTTAACTGTCCTTAAAAGTTTTGGGCAATAAGCTAGGTATGGTGGTGCACATTTATAATCCCAGCACTCGGTAGGCTGAGGCACGAGGATTGCTGCAAGTTCAACAGTAGCCTGGGATACAAAGGGAGCTCAAGACTGCCCTGAACCTCATAGCGAGATCCTGTCTCGAAAAAAAGAAAGAAAAAGAAAAAGAAAGTAAAGCAAAAATAAAAAGAAAAAAAAGGTCAAAAATATATTAACTGCCGGCAAGAAGAAAGGGATAAATTCTCTTAAAATGCGGGCCATATTTTGAGTTGGATTGACAGCAATGTATCTGTTTAGGTGAAGAACTTTTTAAAGTTGAACACACCACATTTGGCCATCAGATCTCCCATGTTTCCTGTGAACCTCCTTCCCTCGCTGTTTATCTCGCGTGTTCCACACATGTATTTAGGTGTCGTGAAACTGATCCCAGGATGCACCAAATTCTTA